TGGTTTACATTAATCAGTGTATGGTAACGCACAACGTTCCAAAGTGCCCATTTTACAATAACCCTATACTATCTCTTAATAGCGCAATCACAGTTAAGCACCCGTACGTTATCCTTATGCTTCTGGTCTTTATTCCTAAAAACTACAAATCATCCATTTTCTATTCTACTGATAACATTCACTATATGTCCCACTGACGGCTTTAGTACACCGGCTGTTATAAGCCGTCCTTATTTATAAAAAGAGCTAAGACCACACTGCCATACGATTTATGCCTTTAGTTGCTTTCTCAGTCCGCGCACCTATAGCAAAATGAATCTTGTGATATTCATACTTCTGTGCAAGTCCTCCATTCTAACGCATAATGACACTACGTCCCCTATCCGAAATCTTCATAGCGCACACCCCCACTAAATACTTTGCACGCTGTCAGTCAATCACCACAGATTACGTGGATCTAATTTTCCTTCGCTCACGTTCTCGTTACAAAACGCTAGAACTATTCGTACGGCTGTATCGCTCCACCACTGTAAGGCCCTCTCACAGATCACGCTAGTCATACCTACTACACCCCACATCCCGACAGATTGGATGCGCACACTGCTCCTAGTTCAAACTGACACCGCCTCAGCTCGTATTGCGTACTCTGATGTCTGTCGGTTGGGCCTTCCACTTTTTCATTAGTTGTGACGTCGACGCGGACCCAACGCTGAGCCCCTTACTCTCCCGGAGCTGGACTTCCCACCCCTATTATCTCCTGGAGCCTCCCTTCCTCACCCCATGCATCAGGCTTTAGTCCGACTTGCCGTGCATACACTGTATCGATTGACTAAAATATCACGCTTACTTCACATAGGTCCGTTGATGTGCGATAGTATCTCTACTGCGACGATTCCCCACTCCCAGATGACATGTTGTCGTTCCGAGCCCACGCACACAGTGTAAACGTTCGCATTCCCCACTTTCCCTGGCTCCTCACTACACCCAGATCGATCCATGTCCTAGTCTGCCCTAGCAGCATTCCTGCCGTCCACATTTTCCTTTTGTAGCACACAAGGAAGGCACACAGTTTGTCTGTTTATGACATTTTAACGTCTCTTTCCCTGACCTTTCACCCAAAACTGTCTACAAATCTACCTCCACTACCTTGACATCTATACCGATTTTCTTACTGCCCTATCCTGTGCGGTTATCCCATAGATGAACTTATTAGATGAGACGGTCACGGTAGCATACACTGCTAATGTTGTGTAATAAGGACCTCTTTCAATAAAAAGGCCGTGCGTAACCGGCCTCAAGCGCGCATCCACAACTCCTGCACTCCGCGGGATTCAAACCCAGGAGCTTTGATCTTGTGCGCGGACGCCTAACCTCTGGATCGCTGAGCCGGCACCCAATGGTGTTAATGTCTAACTCTGATCAATCTAGGGATTTTGCGCGACCTCACCCATTCGTCTTCGGCTATTATTATTATTATTATTATTATTATTATTACTCAATAAATTACGCATTGAATCTACGCACTCTTGAACATCCAACAAGCTGCAATTGGTTTGTTTGACTTCAACTGATTTGAACTGACAATTGCGTCTCTGTGCTAATGTGGTATGGCAACTTGAACTTATGTACATACGTATAAAGTTCTACGTTGTAACTTACTGACTGACTGTCACTGATGAAAACAAGATATAGAATATAGCAATTCCGACAAGGCTTACGAAAGTATATATTCACCTAAGTTTGGCAGTAAACCTCACAAAACATCATAGTTTATCAAAATTAAAATATTTCTGCTGTCCCAGTTCACTGGACTTTAATATACATCATTAAGAACGTATCTTTAACACGAGACGCTTCACTTTTTATCATTACTGTATTAGTTTTGACAAAGTTAAATTTATGGATCATTACAAAATGGAACTATTTCGTAAGTACAATACAAAAAAAAACAAAAAACAAATCATTAACAAACCTTCCTAAAGTTAATAAGCTTGAATTAATATTACCAGCTTCACGAATTCGTAGTGTTTGACCACCGGTAGCAGCTTTTACAGAACGTTCACTTCCAGCCAAATCACAAAACATTAAAGTACTAACTCGAGCAAAATTTGGATTATTTTTATCAACTACTCGTACAGCTTTTACACATAAGATACTATGAGATCTGGAACTTGCTTGATTTAAACGAGTCGATGCAACTTTTTGACAATGACGACCAACAGCAAGAAGTTTCAAAGCTTCTTCAGGTGAAGATATAGGATACCATTTTACACCTTGTTGAAAAAAAAAAATAAACGAATCAACAGTATTACTAAAATTCATGTCATGAATTCAAAAAAACTTTTTAAATGATAATTTATTACATTCTATACATCAGGCATTCAGATTTTCGGATGATTATTGCTAGTAGAACAAACCTCGTCATTGGGAACTGGATTTATTGCTATGGCTCTGATTCACTTTCGGGAAGATGGTTTTTCCTACAAAAAAAAACTTAATAACTACTAACATAGAACTCTAGATCAAACAAATCATTTGTCTGTGTTGTCAGATTCAATTTTCGCCGACCGTAGCTGCTACCTTAACGTGGTGGTCGGGCTTGCCTATCGTGTGATGACCCAACCGAGCTATATTGGCTGAAATATATGTTCCTGAAAGTTCTACCATGCCAGAACGATCAGACTAAAAGCAGCTACTCAAGGTATGAGGGCGAAGTCGTACTTCTGATTGTAGAGAGGTGTGACAGTAGTAAGGTGTTTCCTTCGGACAACCAGCATCTACAGAGATGCCACTGCCTTCTCACATTGAAGGAAGGGTTAGAAAAGGTCGACCCTAAAAATGTCACACCTCACCCTAACTTACGGATTTCCGTCTCCGGCGGTAAGGGCTGCCCAATAAGTGCTTTGAAAAGAACTGAGCACATACTCAAAAAACCTTTCATAAAAAGGCCGTGTGTGACCGGCCTCAAGCAGTTGACCCTTGGACACTGCAGTCACGCTCCCAGGTCTCTAAGACCGACACTAATCTACCTTCCCCTTCAGGTTCCTCAACACCGTTCCACGATGTGGGTAGCCGGAAAGTGACAACCACTCTCATATCCGTAACAGCACACGAGATCAAATTGGTTACAATCAAATCCTTCCACTGAAATTCAATTTCCGCCGAAATGTGTAAATTTGTGTATGAATTTTCTGTTTCCATCCCAGCCACAGTTTGAGCAGCTGAACAGTATGTAACCTAGTCCACACAAATATACAATATTTTGTGTGACGCATAAATATTTAGATGCTTCTTTGTACCAATGTATGTTTAGATAAAAATAAAATAAAATTATCGTTATAAGTTTCTATCCAGAGACTAAAATACTGTGGTGCGCGCTACTTATAAGTAATATATGACGCGAGTGAAAACGTAATGTCTGGCAGCAGAAGATTGGGGAAGATCAAGAAAGGAAGAGTGGGAACACAATGGAATTTGTATGAAAAGCATGAATAGTGAAATAAATGTCAGACAATGGATTGATGGATTGAAGATTTGCAAATTAACGGTTACGATATGGTTTTCCTATTTTACTGAGTAACTCTGTAATTTTCGTTTAATACAATTCGGTTGCTTTCACCTGTGTTCTCCTTCACTACAATACTACCTAATTGAACGAAACACAGAATACACCAGTCTTCAGGACACTAGTTTCAACGTCAAGAAGTGCTGAAACTTTTGTATGGAGCTCTACGTAGTAATACATATTGATTAGGTTTGGTTGATTCGATGAGATGTTGACGATCCCAAAGAAAAAATGAAGCCAATTATTATCTTCATGATAATGAAAACCTATAATTGTATACACATGTAATGAGTGGTTTGAGTTTAACCTTAGTGACTTATGGTAGTTTGAGGTCAAATATATTTATGTCTCCATAGTATTCGTATCAACTGACGTTATTTGATTTAATATTCCATTTCGTGTTTATACATCTAACGTCCTAATGATATATAGTTATTCATTAGACAATTGGTAAATTCATAGAATGATTAAAGTACAGTGTTGATCAAACTATAATTGTAGATCGCGAAGCGAGCTAATGTTATAACCAGTCAACATGAAAGTAACATGAATATTTAAAAGTTTTGATATCATACACATGTATGATTTTAATTGGCTGTTATAATAAGTGCCAAGTTTTTCTTCTTTTATAAATAGAATTTTATGAAGTTTATATAAATAAAATTGAAAGGATTTATTAAACAATGTCTACATTTTCCGAAATACCTTTAATAAAGAGATTTCCATTTTTGTCAGTCCTCAATTCTAATGGAGTTCTTCGAGGTTGATTTACAAAACTAGATGCATGTGATGTGTTGCTATTTACACTAAATATATTTCGGGAATTCATAGTATTCTGATTATTTCGCATGCTGGCGACGCCGTTAGGTTGGGTAGTTAGCATGCTACAGCAATGAGTAGGATCCAGTAGATCATAAAATGTTTCGTTATAAATCTCTACAAAACTCATCCAGAAACTGAAACGTATGTCACTAGGATGTTTGAATCCTGAGTTTTGATCTGAAAGAAAATACTTATTAAAAAAAGAGAGAGTACCTAAGGTATCATCCAAAAAACTGTGTCCTTTAACACCATTGAGGAAGTTGTTCTAGGGAATGAACAAAAAAACAGTAACGAATACCTCAGAAACTCCTTCAGAATATTTGATAAGGGTGGATTTATCAGATAAAACTTTCTGAACCTCATCATCATCCAGACTAACTACGTCTGCGAAATCTTTGGGCATTAAAAACGGGTCGCTTTTGTGCTTTACGAGACTAAACATAGATTGGATGGACCGAGGAATAATCCCGACATTTTCTCGTGTGCCTGAAAAATCATTAAATAACTTGTAATTACCTTGAAGAGTGTGAGTTTTGCCGGAACTGGTGGTGCCATATGCAAAAATGAGACCATTTAAACCTCCGATAAAAGCTCGAACTTTGTCTGCGGCTACTATTTCAAAAACCTTGGCCTGCGTATCCGATTCACGAAATACCTCATTGAAGGTAAATTTATTTGCACTCTTCTGTAAATTACGAAATGAATATTTTGAACTATCGATTTCTGGGGGATAGGCAATCACAGTACATCTGTCAGGACAAGATAACACGGTCTATAACTAAGATAGAGAGTATTGAAACAATACCTTGGCAGAACAGTCATTATCGCACATATAGGGTCTTATTCGTAAATATACTTTCATGGAGTGACTGTAATGAGCGACTTGAGCATCACGAGTACATGACTCGAAGTCGGCAAGCAAATTGCAATTTATACTTGAAAGCCGGAACCCCTCAACCGTACCGACGGATGGTACTCTTGGGCATATGAAAGATGGAACAGATGTCCTATCGCCCAAAATCCTGAAAAAAACTTCAAAAACAAAGATACACTTACAACCCAGCCATCTCAAAACCACCGCTAGAATAATTGATATGTACCGCTGATCTACTTCAATAAGGTAAGGTCAATGTATGGATTGGTCTTTAGCAGTTAGTGATAAGAATCTTAGTTAGGATGACTTATTTCTCCCATATACAAATTATCCTAGTAAGAATACAATTTTCCTAAATGGTTTCCACCAATGAGGTTGATAATAGTTGCTAGACCATCCACTTCCAATGTCCAATATATCCATTATCTTCTTCATGAGTTATTAAAATCCAGTACTTGCTTCTTATAGCTTCGGTACGGTTTCAATTATTTGGTAATGTCCAATGAATTGTAATTTAGCCACCCAAATGCACTTATTCTGATCACTTGACGCTTACTTATGAATTTGTGTTCCTTGATTGTGTTTGTTTTAGGTCATTTAGGTGAAAGAGAATAAATTGGTGGTATGAGGTAATGATAATGATAACAGCAAGTGAGTTTCGAGATATAAATCAGCCACACTTACTACAAGCATGAAGTGGTAGTGCATATGTGAGTAACAGTTTATCAAACATCCTCTGGAAGTTATTCTCAAATAATAACAAAATGTTACAAGAGGCGTGTCAATTTACAGACAAGATTAAAATGTTAAAACTGCTGCCGTATTTTCTATAGAAGAGTGTTCATTCACGTAAATATTTCACATTATACACTGGCTTCATATAGATGGCGAAAAATCTTCCTAACAAAATCATGGATGTGTAGTGGAATACTTTTATGAAGAGAACGCGATTGATGTAATGGAAACATTTGTTATTGTAATCGATTGTACCAGTGATTGTTTTTCTGAGCAACTTTGTCTGCTTGTACCAAAAACACACATTTTCCTCTTGTTGTGACCTTGGGCCTGCTCACGCTCACTCGGTAGTCTCGTCTGTAAAAGCTGACACAATCTTGTTATTATTTTGATACAACAAATATATCTTAACTCCAGTCACAGCTGGCCTTTTGATTTCTGCCTCTGGAGAGATTTAACTTTGTCATTGGAATTATATAGTGGCTGGCGGGAGTTGCGACGGTTACGTAATGACGAGCCGCTAATGGCTGGGAGCCGTTTCAATTTTAACCCAGATCTGCATATAACAAGATGTGATGAGGTAAATTAGCGAAGACGGTCTTGTTGATATACGTTAGATAATAATTTTCAGGTTCCTAGGTAAAGTGACCAAGTCTTCCGCAATTATCCAGTGTATGATAAGGTGCTGAAAAAGAAAAATAAGGAGAAAGAGGCGAGGGGCAGTACAGAAAATGTTTTTTTAAGCTGAATCATGACTCAGCCGATATTTTATTTGGATAAAACAAAGGTATGATTTCTCAGAAATTTTACTTGTATTATGACACTAACTGTACACCTGCACTTACGTAGGTTAATGAAAACAAGCCACTAGTAAGATAACGAATGGGCAAATAATTCTATGAAGATGGGAGATTCAAAAGAACTAAATTGTTAGAAATAAAGTCGATTTACGGAATGTAATCATGAAGCACATTTGTCTGATACTTACCGAGAAAAAGTAACATCAGAACCATTGATTAGTTAAATCCTGCTAGATCGTTAGGAGCCGCAAGCAAACAAACTATTCTGCCGCATATCATGAATGCTGGCCAGATACCCTCTCCTCCCCGGTTTTTTCATGTTCGGTTCTCTTACGTTTAATGGTAGATTTTAAAAAACGCTTTTTAGCCTAAGCTCTACTTTTCGTGCACCTTGTCGCAATACACTTTCTCTACTATCTCCACTTTACAAGCAAACTTGTCAACTTTGGCTTCTGTATGTTGGACTAAATATTCCCGTATAATATCACACTGTTATTAAGTTTACTAATGGCATAAATCGTAAGGTATGTGTTAGTTGATAGGTTGTTTGAAAATAGGAAGAGTAGGCAGGTGATGAATGAAAATAGAGAAAAATAGTATCAAAAATTCATGAGTAAGGCGATAAATAGTTTGGAAAGCAAGGTGTTTGAATGTTGATGAATTGGGGAAATAAAGACTTATGAAACTATTAATTGATGAACAAGAAGAAACTCACAATGGACGTTTGCGTTCCTCGTAATTGACAGCAGTTGAGCAGCATCTATAGGTTTTCAATTAATCTGTCTGCTAGCAATAAAAACTAAAAGTGTTGTGAAAGATAAGAAGATAATCATAGGAATTAAAACTTTAAGAAAACTCCGAATGTTGGGGGTAGCACCTCAAAGGCGTGGCCTCTTACTGTTTGTAGGAATAGGGAGATTCATCTGTTATTTCGTCATGGTTATGCAGGTGCAGTGTATTGATGGTCTCTTATTTTCTAAGTTTAGTCTAAATATTTGGTGTACCATAAAAGAGTGCCTCGAGATTTAGCGTGAGTTTAGGAAATAGTTGATAAATCTCCCTGGAGTATAGCAACAGCATTACCGGTTTCCTAGACCTGGTGACTGTGTCACAGATACGAATAGAAATTGGAAATCTGTTCCGCAATAGAATGTATGTGTTACAAATAAACTACAATGCAACGGTTTTTTGTGTTTTTCCGTTAGTAGTGTATACACGTTGTTTCTAAGTCTGTAAGCAGGTTCGTGGTTCCTAATTGAGAGGTATCTCACGAACGAGAGGGCAAATATGATTTTGTAGAGGAGTATTAGGTTTTTTTCAACCGACTGGGCCATAGAAGTTCTAGGGAAAGATATTTGCATCTTTCTGTGTAGTTGAGGTTATGGCTCCATCCGAGCAGTCACAGGGTGAAGCTTCTTTGGACATTTTCTGCTCGTATCTTGTCAATGATATTAATGATTGAGGAGATAAGTGAGCAGTATTCAAGATAGGGTCTTATACAGATTTTGAATATTGTAAGCCTAGCCTCATTTATCAAGAAGTTCTTATTCATAAACTCCATTAGTCATCTAGATTTAGAGATAATAATAGAGTCATTTTTTTGAAATTTTAGACTTCTGAAGTAACGAATACACAGATCACACTCTGATATGAGTGTGAACACTACATTTTTGTAAGTAGGGCGGTATTTCATGATGATTCTTACTAAAATGCGTGATGCCACATTTGTTGCGGTTAGAAAGTAGCTGCCAAATTTCGCTTAAGGTTGATAAGTCGTCAAGGTTACTCTGAGCCCTTCAGTCTTGAAGCTGTATACTATTTTGAGATCATCTGCGTATAGGTATGATTTTATAAATTTTATAGTTTAACAAATATCGTTTATGTACAGAAAAAGCAAGAGTAGATTTAGTGCACTTCCCTGAATAACTCCACTGGTTATTGGTTTTTGTGATGAAAGGCAGTCACTGTACTTTACCGGTTGTTAGCGTCCATTTAAGGATGAAGTAAACCACGAGTATTGTGGACTATGTATTCCGAATGACTAGTTTGACGAGTAGCCTTTTGTGTGGGACCTTATCAAAAGCTTTCTTCAAGTTGACGAATAAGACAGACAGTGGAAGCCGTTTGTCTTGTTTTTCAGTAATGCCGTTGAGACGATGTGGTAGGCATTTATCGCTTGAAATGGGCCTCAAGAACCCTTGCTGTAAGATCAAGATTAAACTGTTGTTGAGTAGGTGTTTTAAAGCCACAGCCTTTACTTATTACTCCATCACCCTAGATACTACTGCAGTAATGTGTATGGGTTGGATATTTTCAAAATGTTCTATTGGCTGTGCTTCAATTGTGGGGATTATATATGTGGTCTTCCAGGTATAATTGTAACACGCTCTAGAAAGTGATATGGTAAATAGTTTAAGGAGTATAACACACAGATTAGTGCTCCCATTTTTTCAGAATGCTAGCTCGGACACCATCTGATCCTCCAATGTAAGAGTGTTTCAGTGTACTAATGGACTTGGAATTATTCTATACACTGAAGACTACACTGGTGATTTCACAACAAGGTTTAAGGGTTGGCTATGATTCAGTCAGTGGGTTTACGTTTGTTAATGAAGTCCGTGATGCTGACTTATCAACAGAAGTTCTTGACCCGTAGATTATATGCAAGGGTGGGATCTCCAATTTTGATATTTCCTCGTCTCCCGAAGACTTTAAGTAGCATAACATGGGACCAATATCTAACTCTCCATCTCCTGATACAGAGGAGGTTTCGTCAGCATTCGTCATCGTCGGCAACTCATTTGTCACATCAGTGACATCCAGATTACTATCATCGTCATCATGATTTCGTTGTGTCAGACAGGTTGCGTCGTTTCGGTCTGCACTAGCATCCGTAGAGTGAAACTCTTCCATTGTTGTATAACTCATCTCTCTACATGAAAGAACAGCATAAGTGTCACAATCCAAAGCTGATAAACTCACTTGTTGTTCTTCATGTTCTGTTTCAGAGACACACGACATATGCACGTCAATAGCATCGTTATCATGCATTACTGTAGACTGACTGTTACCATCAGACGCCTCCTTCTCATCATCACTTGACTGACAGTCAACCGATGTAGGAACACTTACAGTTACACAACCTTGTGTGTCCTCAATCAACTTAGCCTTCGCGTCAAGGTCCGATGACGTCAAAACACTAGAAGGCTCGTTCGATGAATTTGATCCACTAGTCACTATAGGTGGACTGCTCATACTTTC